CGACGTCTAACACCTAGCGCTTACCTTTACACTTCTCTAATACTGAAGAATATCTGATGCTTTCCAGCGACGTCTAACACCTAGCGCTTGCCATTAAATTTTTCCATTGCTAAAGAACACCTGGTGCTTTCCAGCGACGTATAACACCTAGCTCTTACATTTACACTTTTCTATTGCTCTAGAATATCTGATGCTTTCCAGCGACGTCTAACACCTAGCGCTTACCTTTACATTTTTCCATTGCTGAGGAATGTCTGAAGCTTTGCAGTGACGTGTAACACCTAGCATTCACATTTTCTTTAGTTTCCGGTCTTGTAGATTAGTTGGAGGTGAAGAAACATAGCATTGTCCTGCTGAAATTTATATTATTTAAAGTATAAAACCAAACCTTTTCTACAGCCTAAGCTACTTATTTAAAAATTCCATAAGTCAGTGCTTGGTGATATTTCTCACCACCGATGTAGCTTGACGGATAGGAACTGATACTCTACTTAGCTTGCCGGATAAAAACTGATACAGCTCGAAACCACATACTCATTTAGTTTTAATACCAATCGGAACAAGTACAAATGCAGTTTGAATTTTATAGTCCTAAAGACGAGGAATAAAGCTAACTATCGATGTAGCTGGGGTGCAGTAAAGTCTCAAATACAATTCCACAGTGAAAGATAGGTCGGTGAAACGTTACAGTCTGAAGTACCTGTACAACACCATATAGAACACATTTGATATCATTTTTACCTATTAGTGCCTAAATATAATGCTGTGTTATTTCCATATCTTCTACTTAATTTATACTCCTCATCTGATGAACACAACGAACTTAGTTATTATCGTCAGGACTTTTACTTGAATAGATTCGAGTATGACTAATTTTATGCACATATTAAAGAATCTGCAACAGATTAATGACGGGTCTCGCTACGACTGACATGCTGATATCTAATTTTGTATCGCAACTTACAAAATTAATAATGATCTTTAATTTGCCTGTGAACAGTTGTTTTTGTTTTCAAAGTGGAAAAATACACAATGAGGTATTTGTATTCAGTTTCCCACGAGGAATCGAACCTCGGATTTTAGTGCTGCAAGTCCGTAAACTTACCGTTGATCCACAGGGGTAAACATATAAACAACTATGTATCGTAACAACAAAGCAAGAAATTTCACGGTAAATTTCAACGATAATTCATTTTTCAGACACAATGTATTTGAGTATTTTCTTAATATAAACACATTTTGCTTCGCTTACGACAAGACAAAAGCAGTCACACATAAGCCCGTTTATAGGAGTGAGACGTCACAGAAGAATGGAGTTCAGTTTCTGTTGCCAAAATATCCTGTTGATAAGTGAACCAGTTGAATTAGTTTAAGGCAATAAATACGACAACTAAAAATGTAATATAGGCCTCTAGATATTTTTGCACACAATTTATTTCATAAGTGAGTTTGTTTGGAGATAAAGCCTTTATTGTTACGAAGTAATTAACATGGCCTGATGGATTTGATAAAGCCTTTGCCGTTAAGAAGTAATTAACAAAATGTGCTGGATTTGCTTCTTTAAATATAAAGCTTTTATTGCTACGAAATAATAAGAAAAGTTGGTAGATTTACTTCGTTATAATCAAAGCCTGCATTGTTACGAAGTAATTAACAGAATTTGGTGATTTGCTTTTTTAGTAATAAAATTTGCACTGTTACGAAATAAGTAGCAACATTTGGTGGATTTGCTTCTTTAGATATAAAGCTTTTATTGCTACGAAATAATAATAAAATTTGGTAGATTTACTTTATAAGCAAAGCCTGCATTGTTACGAAGTAATTAACAGAATTTGGTGATTTGCTTTTTTAGTAATAAAATTTGCACTGTTACGAAATAAGTAGCAACATTTGGTGGATTTGCTTCTTTAGAGATAAAGCCTGCACTGTTACGAAATAATTAAACAAATATTATGGAATATTTTCACATGGCCAAAAGCTTCTAAATTTAAGACTTTACTTAACAATCACCAACTTAATGATGATGTTTTGGATGATACATACTCCTCTGATGCCTCAAGTCACCAGAATAATACTACAGATAGGATTGAAATAATTGTTTAACATAAAAATGACTCAGGTCATTAAGACATCAGGATAATGGCTTTTTATCAATGAACAAATGTTAACATTCATTAAAGTTTAGAATACGTATTATATACATATATATAATGTGAGTAAAAGTCTGTACTAAAACAAACCTGAATTTAGGTGTTTTTTACGCCATATAATACATTTTCAGAAATACACGCATTTATATAAACCATTTCATAATTAAGAAAGACGAGAAAACAAACATAGCGTATTGTTCATTTGCAACCAAAGCCAGATGCGGTATTATATCACGAGGATGTTGACTATCTTTGGAACATGTGCTGGTATCATATATCAAGTCAAGACAAAAATCAGAAGAGCTGCGCAGTATGAGTAGTAGAAATTAAAACACAGGGCTATTAAGTAATATCTAAATTGAAGTAATTAAGTCGATGAATCTTTACAATAAAACCCATTAAAGTCATGTGAGATGTATATATTACATTAGATCAAATTATATTACATTAGATCAAATTATATAATTGACTATTCAAGTGCGTAAAACAAAAGTGTATTTCTTAGTATAACATGTATGGAACAAGAAATCTTGATATAGGTGTAGGAATATTCAGTTCAGCATCATGCACGTTGAAGTTACCCAGGCCTAAGTCTATCTACATGAGGCTTGATTGCTTTAAAGAGCTTAAAAGTAAGATAACCCAACCGATCTTATGTGTTGTTTTTAAGTGTGAATAATCATATTTGAACCAAGATGTCTATTTATAGAGCCTGTTATTCCTTCTTTAACTATATACATAGTAATAACGCAACACTCTTTATAATTACCAGGAACGATTTATACCTTATTTTTTAATTACCAGGAACAATTTATGCCATATTTTATAATTATCAGGAACGATGTATAACATATTTTTTAATTACCGAGAACGATTTATTTTTTAATTATCAGGAATGATTTATGCTATATTTTATAATTACCAGGAACGATTTATACCATATTTTTTAATTACCAGGAACAATTTATGCCATATTTTATAATTATCAGGAACGATGTATAACATATTTTTTAATTACCGAGAACGATTTATTTTTTAATTATTAGGAATGATTTATGCCATATTTTTTAATTCTCAGGAACGATTTATACCATATTTTTTTAATTACCGGGAACGATTTATTTTTTTAATTATCAGGAACGATTTATTTTTTAATTACCGGGCGATTTATACCTTATTTCTTTAAAGCAGGACAGGTTTAGATTAAATACATCATTTAGCTATTTCTTTTTCCAGAATTTGATTTCCGTAAAATTATCTAACTTCTGAAAAGTGTGATAAAACTTCAATCGTTGAAAGTGCCAAATACCTTATTTACGCAGAAAATTAATTCAAGTAAAAGATTTAATTTAGAATGCGAAAGCGAGTATTTTTTAAATAATGAAATTTTTATCTGTTGCCTATCTTTTAATACGGCCTTTTGTATGCATACGATGTGAACGAAAAAAAGAGAAGGAGAAAAAAGCACTCTGGATTGAATATACAGATTTCACAGTGACGCTACTACTGGATCTGCATGATACTTAAATCAGTTGAAACCATATTATTATCAAGCGATTTTACACCAGCTTTTAGAAGATATTGAGGAGACCTAGCAGGTATAAAGTACGTCATATAAAAAAGATAATACACTTATATGGTGAAACTTTATTTAATGGTGTCTTCTAAACTTTGATTTATCACGTGAACAAAAGGCGTTTTAAGAATGTGCTATTATTCAAGCAGCTAATAAAATGAAGCGTCTACGACGTTCTATTCATAAAGTTCTTCTATTTTCTCATGGCCAATTAGCAGATTTATTATTAAAAAAATATATATAACATATCTAATATATTATAAAACTAAAGCTTCTTCAAAATCTCTATTAAATTTACTGTGATTATTGGAGAATACAAGATATTACAGAGAAAAATTGGTAACATGTTACCTAAAAGACGACAAGAACAGGTTAAGTTCTTTGCTTATCAGCAGTGTTTGGATTGTTCCTGTAGCACATCTTTATAAGCGAAACTTGTTGTAACTTTGAACTTAAAGGTTTATCTTTACGTTATTAAACTACTAACTTTGAACTTAAGGGTTTATCTTGAAGTTATTAAACTGATAACTTTCAACTTTAGAGTTTATATTTAAGTTATCAAACTCATAAGTTTGAAGTTAAGAGTGTATCTTTAAGTTATCAAACTGATAACTTTGAACTCAAGAGTTTATCTTTAGGTTACCAAACTGATAATTTTGAATTTAAGAGTTTATCTTTATATTATCATCATGATAACTTTGAACTTAAGAGTTTATACTTAGCTTATCATTAAAGTAATTACTGTAGACATTCTACCAAGTACTGAATTCTGGAAATCTGAAGAGTTAATAATACTTTTGGAATTCTTGAATGAAACACAAAACTTTTTTGGAATATTTTATTCATTTCTAGTTTATCGAAACATTATCTGAATAAATTGGCGTATATACTTCATTTAAAATTAGAATTTTACACGCAGATTTCTGGTACTAGAAGAATAACGAACAACTAAATATTGTGCATAATCCGCTAAAAGCGACAGATCTGTCTGATATTTCTATTTTTATATAATAAATATATTACTGTAGCTTCGAGAAAAATGCAAATATTTTAAGCTTTTCATAATGTTATATATTTCGTACATATTACAGATTATTTACTTCACCTACATTTTGCGAACATTGCTATCTAAATACCGATGTATGTAGATTTTAAAATAACAACAGTTTAGTGCTGAAGAACATGGTTTAAAAAATGCAATTGTTCCTTTAGAATATTGCGTGTCTCTTTTTCGAACTTACTTCTCTTTTTAACCTAAACAACGGCAGGCTTACCTTTAAAAGTTATCACCGTGCCCAGCAGAAGAAAGATGAGAGCGAGTTTCCTGTTGGGCATGATGAGCTATTTTTCTAAGAACTTTGAAACGTAAGGACTGCTGGAAAGTTGAGCTCCTTTCACTAGTAATCAATATCGTATCTGTTTCTGCTAGTGAATAATGCGGCCACCGTTGAGCGCAACCAGCGCTGGTCTGGGCTACTGGCAACGACTTACTCATATAACAGTTCTTTACGAGAAACCACTCCCAGGTATAGACATAACCGATACCAGGCAACATAATTTGCTCATGCGCAGTTGTTTAGAATTTCATAGGTAAGTCATGAATTAGCAAATTAAAAGTAACGTTTATATGTTGTTGTTTTTTTTTGGGTTATGTTGGCTCTTCAGACTGAAATTTCACTTCTTAGAATTCTTTAGTGGAGTATATATTAGATTAATAGAGAAAATTCATCATTTTTTTTCGTTTGGAAGAATAGATTTTCATTTGGAAAACCTTGTGGAAAACAACGAAGAATAACTAGTATTACTAAAGGCTCGAAACTACGCACTGTACACGCAAACTAAAAAAAAAAACCTTTCGTTTTCTTTGTATAAAAATGAATAAGTACATATTAAAAATACATAAAACGATTATATTCTCGTTTAAAGTTATATGTTTATATACTGCCAACCTTTACGAAAATTTTATGATGAGTTGTATCTTTAAAATGTTAAGGGATGTAGTTAATAAACATTAGTCGTGAAAACGTTTCTTCAAGTCTTTTGATCGACAACTCCAATATTGTATTACAAAAAATACCCTAAAAGAAACTCGAGAATGAAATCGAGCATAGGAAACAATCTCTGTTTGGATTATGTACCACCTGGCGGAATTTAAAAACCATTTAACGTCTTCAAACTACGATCAAGCGCTATAGGCTTAATCAGTTTAATTACGAAGAGTAAATTTTATGTACACCATTTAAAATGCCAGCTACGCACCACAAGTGTTATAAGTCTTCAGCAATACCATTTAATGTCCATATGTGTATCACCATGACGTAATATGCATAAAAAATAAATCGGGAAAATGTCTATCGATAAAAACTAACTATGATGAAGTTTTTAGTACGTTTTATCAAAGTGATTTCGAATATGGAAATCAGCAAGTCACGTGACAAACCCAGCTCACATAAAGTCGCGGTGAAAGATAATATGTCAAAACTACATTTTAACATTGTTTGAAGTTCGTACCCAGTATGATGCCACCGAAATTTGATCTCTTTCGGGAACGACATGTATAAACTCAAAATATTAAAACTCCCCCCCCCCCCCAACAGAATGTGATAAATGAAGTTATCATAAATTCAATGAATTTATTGAATGTAATAAAATAACACATGTGTCGTCTCCGTACACATTAGCTGTTAGGATATCAGATACTTAAAACAAAGGCAATGGGTGCATTTTTCAGGGACGATTTTATTGATAATAAAGCGTACATCGAAAACGTATCTGAAAATATGGACATATATTTTCTTAATGGATACAATCTTCTATAAAGACTTCGTCACGAAAAAAAAATCACAATATTTTCATATAGGGACTGCACTTTGCGTCCATAGAAATGTCTTTTGATTGTTTGTTTTTAGAGATATATCCAGGAAAAGTACCAGAGTTAGTATAAATACAGCAGTTTCTTACATAACTCAAAAGTTTATTGCGTCTGTACATTTTTCGAATGTTAATACAGAGACTTTGAGTTCACGAGTCCTTCGATTAAACACTATATAAAAATCTGAGAATAGCAGTTTGTCACTACACACACACACATATATAAATACTCTCTGTCTTACATACATATAGCTGTGCCTATATATTTGTACTGACTATACTATTTGCTACTACATTCTTTCCATCTATTACGCATAGTCTACTATTTCGATGACGAGGAACCCACTTTGAGACTAATAATAGCTGGAGACGGCTTGAATGGGTAATGAAGAAAACTTTAATATAAGTTTAACATAACAGCAAATGTACAACGTTTCGACAAGGTTTTGTCATCATGATGATATTAAAGTTTTTCTTCATTACCCATTCAAGCCGTCTCCAGCCATTAATAGTCTACTATTGTTTGCATGGCTTTGAGTCAATTGGATTTTCTTTCTAGATTTAACGCTAAAGCCTTCAGCATTTAAAGTAAGAAGTTTAAAACAAATCTTGAAATATAAAACATATGTACGTATATATATAGACACACACTTTAAGACATACAAATATATACAACTGTCTCAATTTTATGATGCATTACATTTATATACTGGGTAAGAGGGGAGTCAGAGTTATCAATGTAGTAGCCCAATAATGAACCAGACAAGCCAAGAATCTTTTGGAAAAATTGCACGCTCAAGTACGCTTGATCCTACTCTGTAAACAGAGAAACGTATATCTAGTACCTAACTTTTCAATATGTCCAAAACAGAGAGAAACGTATATCTAGTACCTAACTTTTCAAAATGTCCAAAACAGAGAGAATCGTATATCTAGTACCTAACTTTTCAATATGTCCAAAACAGAGAGAAACGTATATGTAGTACCTAACATTTCAATATGTCCAAAACAGAGAGAAACGTATATCTAGTACCTAACTTTCAATATGTCCAAAACGGAGAGAAACGTATATCTAGTACCTAACTTTTCAATATGTCCAAAACAGAGAGAAACGTATATGTAGTACCTAACATTTCAATACATCCTCAACAGAGAGAAACGTATATGTAGTACCTAACATTTCAATACATCCTCAACAGAGAGAAACGTATATGTAGTACCTTAATTTCCAATATATTCTCCTCCCATTACTTCACCTGGCTCTGCTGTAATAATTTCATAAGGACTGTTGATACTTTTCCTTTATTTGTCAAGCTGTTTTTGTGTAATTTTATATACTTTTATATGTATATGTCTAAATTTCTAAAATATATGAAAATGAAATTCCAGAGTCGCTGCTGTTAATCACAAGAAACAATCAGGTTTCGTTTAGCTGATTTTATAAATGTCCGCTATTCAGCTCGTGGACGCTTCAGTTCCACTTCCATTCAAAATTTTCTATCGTTCATGAAGCCTAAACAAATTGATGTTTTTACCCTTCAGCTTGTTGTATCTAAGCAGTGTAGGGAGGAGGCATCATTCATTACAACTATAGCAAGAAAGAGGCACAACTGTTTTGGACATATTGAAAAGTTAGGTACTAGATATACGTTTCTCTCTGTTTTGGGGACATATTGAAAAGTTAGGTACTAGATATATATATTTCTTTCTGTTGAGGATGTATTGAAAATTTAGTTTCTACATGCATATTTCTTTCTGTTGAGGATGTATTGAAATGTTAGGTACTAGATACATGTTTCTTTTTGTTGAGGATTTTTGAGGATGTATTGAAAAGTTAGGTACTAGATACATGTTTCTTTCTGTTGAGGATGTATTGAAATGCTAGGTACTACATAGATGTTGTTTTCTGTTGTAGACATATTGGAAAAATAAGGTACTATATGCAAGTTTCTTTCTAGTGAGGATATACTGGAAGGTAAGGTACTATGTACACGTCTCTTTCTAGTGAGGATATACTGGAAGTTAAGGTACTATGTACACGTCTCTTTCTAGTGAGGATATGCTGGAAGGTTAGATACTATGTACATGTTTCTTTCTAGTGAGGATATACTGGAAGGTAAGGTACATGTACACGTCTCTTTCTAGTGAGGATATACTGCAAGGTAAGGTACTACGTACATGTTTCTTTCTGCTGAGGATATACTGGAAAGTAAGATACTATGTACATGTTTTTTTTGTTGAGGATATAGTTGAAAGTCAGGCATTATATAAATGTTTCTTTCTGATGATGATAAATTGGAAAATAAGGTACTATATACGTGTTTCTGTTGAGGATTTATTGTAAAGTAAGATACTATCCACATGTGTTTTCCAATTGAGGATGTATTGTAAAGTAAGATACTATCCACATGTGTTTTCCAATTGAGGATGTATTGTAAAGTAAGGTAATATATATACATGTTTTGTTTCGTGATAATTTTTAGTCTTACTATTAGTTGTTTTGAAAGAATGGAATATTCTTATTGGTATTTTCTTCCTTTTAATTATTGGCTCTGATCTTCGCGAGAGTTTGTTTTAATCGTTAATTTTTTGACTATTTCGTTACACGGTATATGATTTGTATACGATATTTGTATTACTAGTCTTAATTAATCCTAAGGTGTCTATCTTACTGGGCAAAGTTACATCTGGCATAATTCATTTCAGGTTGGGACAATGGTGTGACTTTTATCAGATATTATTAAACCTACTTTAATTTAATTTTTCTACCCGTTCGTTTGAATTTTATTATTTAAGTGTTTTTGTTGTTTATAGTGTCGTTCCATCCATCCATCAACCAATCTATCTGTCTATCTACTATCTTGGATCCAAGGATGTCGATGGTTTATTATGATCAAAATATTGTGAAATTTCCTGTTTTTGAATAATTAATTATTTTTTTCCTTCCTGTGTGATATATATATATATAATTTAAATAATTATTGTATGATAAATAATAGTTGATGATGAATTGAAATTTTCAAAACAACAGGTTGAATGTTTTAATAAAAGTATTCAAAATTAATTCAACATTTTACAACTATTATTTCTGAGGCTATTGAATATAGTTAAGGGAAATTGTTATATTAAAATATCATCCATTTTAAGTATTTAGTAGTATGTAATAATTATTTACAGATGTTACAGATAAAAGTAATAAATCTGTTATGTAAATAATGTAATGAATGAATGAATATGTCTTTATTTCCCTATAAAATACTGGTTGTTTGGTGCCAGACTTGTAAAAAGTTGTTTGGTGTCAAACTTGTAAAAAGTGGTTGTTTGGTGTCAAACTTGTAAAAAGTTGTTTGGTGTCAAACTTGTAAAAAGTGGTTGTTTGGTGTCAAACTTGTAAAAAGTGGTTGTTTGATGTCAAACTTGTAAAAAGTGGTTGTTTGATGTCAAACTTGTAAAAAGTGGTTGTTTGGTGTCAAACTTGTAAAAAGTGGTTGTTTGGTGTCAAACTTGTAAAAAGTGGTTGTTTGGTGTCAAACTTGTAAAAAGTTGTTT